CTGCCCGCAGCCCCAGAGAGGAGCAGGCTGAGCATCCACATGGCCGCCTCGCAGAGCATCTCCTCCTGCCCCCGCACCCTCTGGAAGACCCTCTTCAGAAACATCCTGCTGGCCGGGGGCACCGGCTCCTGCTCCGGCCTGTGCCTGCGGCTGAAGAAGGAAATGAACGAAGTGGTCTCCCCTTACCTGAGCGTGAAGGTGGGTGCCGGGTCTACTCCTGCTGGCCTTTCCTTGTCCGTTCCTCAGGGGCCCGGGGTGCCTGTGTCCAGCCTGCGCAGCTCCAGGCAGGTGTTGGGGCAAGGGGGAGGGGTTCAGGAAGCAGGACGGACACCAGCAGGGTGTGCTCCAGAAGCCACCACGCTGGTGGGGGCAGCACTCACAAGTGGGCTCCTGTGGCGGCAATCCCATGTTCCAATGAGCAGAGAGCTGTGCAGGCGCAGGCGTGAAGGATGGGGAGCTGGGGGGGCGGTCGGCAGCAGAGCCTATGAGGATGGAGGAGACAGACAAGACCCTCCTCCACGTGGCAGTGTCCCCTAGGGTCACAGACAGGCAGAAATGTCCCATTTCCATTCTGTCCACCGTGGTAGTTGAGATTCCGTGCCCTGCGGTCAGCCAAGTTGGTCAACCCATTGGCAACATGGCGCCAAACTACCCTGCATGGGAAAGGTGAACATTCTGGTGATGCTCCCGGGGAGCTGCCGCGTTCCTCTCCCTTCCGTCCTCTCCTTCTCTCTCCCTCTGCTTTCTCTTCTTCTTCATCTTCTTCCTCCTCCTCCTCTTCCTCCTCCCCTCTCTTCCTTCAAACATGTTTTTGAAATTACCCATGGCAAACCCATTGGCTATTTTTATTTCTTAAAAATTTTTTTATTGTGATCTGAGTGAAGGCTTGCAAAGCAAACGAACGCTCCCCCTAACAACGCAGGCACACGTGGATTGAGCAGCCCCCCGATGGGGCCTCACTCACTCCCGGTACCTCCGATGTCCAAGCTGCCTCCATCCCAACCCGCTGAGCCTTGTCTCTGGGGAGGGGCTGCCATTCTGATCTCAAATGACCGACGCTTTTAAGGGGTGTGTACCTCCCTGTGGGGCGAGAGGGTCCCCACACTCGAATGGGTCCTCAGGAGTGACTTTGGGATTGTGGAAAATGATGCAGATGGAAAGACGGACAGCGGGGCACAGGGCTCCTCGTCCCTCTGTCAGGACCAAGAGAGTAAATGTAGTTTCCAATGGATGGATGTAATGGGGCTTTACAGAGCTTTCAAAGGGCATGTATGTCATACCGTGAACGTATTACACAGTCAGTGGGTAATGTCATAAGCGGATAACATAATAAACAAGCAATGAGGTGAGTCATCCTCTTGACCTGCGGTTCTCAATCCTCCTAATGCCGCAACCCTTGAACACATTTCCTCATGTGGTGGTGACCCCCAACCATAAAATTATTTTCGTTGCTACTTCATAGCCGTCATTTTGCTACTGCTATGAATAGTCGTGTAAATATCTGATAGGCGGGATGTATTTTCATTGTTACAAATCGAACATCATGAAAGCATAGTGATTCATCACAAAACAACATGTAATTAGACAAGTAAATGACATTTTGTCTTGAAGCATGGTGCAGCATGGGTAACAGTCTTCACACTGGGTACTCGTAGGTGGGTGTATCTGCATGTGGGTGGACCCACCTGGAGACGGATAGAGGAGTGGTGTCTCAGTTCCTAAGACTATCGGAAATATGTGTTTTTCCGATGGTCTTAGGCGACCCCTGTGAAAGGGTCCTTCAACCCCCAAAAGGGTCACAGCCCACAGGTTGAGAACTGTTGCTCTTGACCTAGTGTTGGTTGACCTCAAATGCCTCTGATCCCTCCCCTGGGGAGCAATCTGTGATCAATATCACAAGACACGCCAGAACAGAGTTGCTGCACTTTATGGTGGGTTCGCCTATAGAGCCTGACTGCTCTTATCTACCTCCAGGCACAGGGACTAGCCGGATGCATGAATGATTCATCTTATATGGTAGCTCCTTCATGGCTGCACCCTAGGGTGGGGTGGGGGTTATCGGAGGGACTGTGTCCAGTCATGAGGATGTCTATTAAGATTTATTTATATCATAACCATGAGGGTCTTCCCCCAGGAGAGCCAAATTTCCAGACCCCTCACTGTGAGCAGAGAGGATTTAGCTGCACTGCATTCTCGCCCAGTCCTTCTGTTCACTAGTGTGGGTCCCCCTTACAGACCTGTCTAGTGTTTGGTTGGAAACTGAGACACAGGGGTGATTCGGTCCCGGACTTGAAGAGTGTCCAGTGCCACAGTGTCCAGGGCGCCACAGCCTCTACCTGACCAGTCATCCAGCCCTTTCCATGATTTAGTCTTGTTCCAACGTGTCTCCTCGCTCTATCCAAGGACCTGCTAAAGCGATCAGTTCAAAACCACCAGCCACTCTGAGAGAGGCCTTCTACTCCTGGAATAATTTATGGTCTCAAGAAGCCCAAAGGCGCAGTCTGCTCTGTTTCTAGGCCACCGTGAGTCCAACGAGACTACATGGCGGTGAGAGAGGGCGAGCCAACGTGACCCCTTTCCGAGCTGGTGGTGGTGGAGGCCTCAGGGTTGTGGGGACTGACGTCAGCTCACGTGGCCCGTGGGGACTGACGTCAGCTCACGTGGCCCGTGGGACTGATGATTCCCATGGGTCTTTCATGTTCTTCACTCTTCTTTGCTCTAAATGGGAAGAGACCAATAGATAATT